TATTAAAACATACTGTTCTCACGTATAATACAACATTGATTTCTTTTACTTATTTCAACATACCTTAATGTCTCTACMAAATAYCAACAACGAGAAKTCGAAGCACGTCATTAAATAATTAAAGTGTACAAGTGTAGTACGGGAGTACTACAATGTGAAAGGATGCGTATGATGCAGAATGAAAACAATGAAAAAATTATTACATAATATTATTTGATATCGTATAACAATTATTTATATAGAAGACCAGCTGATACTATTAGAATACTGAGATACAATATCCCCAGATTTCTATTATTATTATTATTATTTTATTATCACGTCATAATAACATGATTTAAGATTGTTGTTATATCATAAATCGCCTATAATGCGGTTATTGCTGTATAAAAGACTACGTTTATATAATATACATAATTTTRCTTTTATATTAAAAACATGAGTTGCTAAAGTCGGTCTAGTAAAAAAGGCGTATTCGCGMAGAGTTTAAAGAACTTCAAACCCAAGATGATCAATTTATATTTAATCAATTAGACTTTGAAGAACATGCAGATGATGAAGCTGTTGGTGTAGAAGTTAAAAACAATGCCAATTGGTTTATAATGTTTATATAATTTATTATAATAAATTACTGTATAATACTAATTATATATTATTGTTATTTGTTGAGTGTTGACATTAAGAGGATGTCACAACTCACAACTGCATGCGTTGTCTCCGTCTTAGAAACGTAGAACATAGCAAAAAATGCACTTGCACGGGACAACTTTTCTCCCTGAGTATTTATTGTAAAATTATTATAATTTCACAACGTATAGATCAGAACTTTATCTGTGTCATAGCTTCGTTATTTTTTTGATGGCACAAACCAATCATTTTAAGTAATTAAATGAAAAAATACAAAATAAATGTATTTTCTTAAGCTTATAACATTAATTATATTTATGTTATCAAAAAAATAACGACGCTATGATACAGATACAAGAAATTCGGAATGTGTAACCGGTGAATTTTTCCAACAGTCAACAGTCCACTGTGGTGAGTGGTGACTGGTGGAAGAAATTCAGATGTCGTAACCGGTGGTCCCCCACCATAATCCATGTCCCGTACCTACTTAGTTTTTATTCTTATCAATTTAAAAATATCTTATCATTTTTTTTTAAATTGAATAAAAAAACTTTTAAATACGTACTTAAGTAGTGTAATAGTGTAATAGTGTAATACCTATATTAATAATTATTTATTATTCAAATGTCAATTAAAATGAATTTTAATAATAATAAAATGAAATTATTATTAAACGAATATATTCTTAAAAAAAATAAGACTGCCGAAGTAATTGTATCTGCGGCTATTCCTCCACGTTGTTTTAGTATGACCTACATTGTACATATTTAAAAATAGTCATTTATTAATATTACTCGTAATTATGTCTATTTTATAGTTATTAATAGTATTATTGAAGATTTTGATGACTTCCTTATTCTGAACACTAAAAAGGAGCATCGAAGTAAATTTTCTGATTTTGGAGAAATCACTGTTCCTTGTATGAACAGTATTGACTTCAAATGCCATTTTAGATTAACCCGTACTAGTGTCGAGGTTTACATTTGATTTGTATTAATTTTATTTATTTTTAATATTTATGTATTAACAATAAATTTATTACATAGGTACTAATATCCCATATAGGCTTTTACATTCAACATAAGTACAAAGCAGTAATAGTGGAAAATCAAATTTTAATATTTCTATGGTTTATGGCAAACTGTGAAACACATAGGTAAGAAAAAAATGACTAGTTAATAGTAGGTTATCAATTCAGAATAACTTTTTTAATAATAGTTTTAATGAGTAGTTAAAAAAAATGTACTATATTTTATCTATAAATTATCTTTCAGGCAGTTAGCTAACAGATATGATGTTGCTGAAAGCACAAGCCATTCAATAATTAAAAGTATTTTAACTAAGTTAAACATGATTTCTTATAAACTTATTAAATGGCCTATTGGACAAAGAGCCATTGAAACTATCGAAAAATTTAACTCATTAAGGCCAGGGGCACTACCAAATGTAATTGGAGCTATTGATGGGTGCCATATTAAAATTCTCGCACCTTGGGTTGGTCGGAAAAAAATGCCAAAACTAGATGGTACTATGTTTGTAAACCGAAAACAAGTGGCTTCAATAGTTTCACAGGTATAAAAATATTATGTGCTAAATAAAAAACTACTACTCCCAATCCATGTAATTACTAATTAGTCATATTCCTCATTTGATCCTTTTTATTAATGAACAAGGGTATTGTGGATTCACAATATATGTTTACTGATGTATTCGCTGGMTGGCCTGGATCATCGCACGATGCACGAGTTTATAGAAGAAGTGGTGTTGGGCAAAAACTTTTAGATGATCCCTGRACAATTATACCAGAAGGTAGCCATGTGATTGGTGATGGAGCTTATCCTCTAACTGAAGCTCTATTAATACCTTATAAGAACATTGGTCACTTGACACCTGCTCAAATACATTTCAACCAAAAGTTGAGTAGTTCCAGAATTGTTGTGGAACAAGCATTTGGAAAACTGGTTGGACGATTCCGTAAATTGAAGTAAAGCATTTTAATGTACAATACTTAAGATCATTATTATAAAATAAGTACTCATTACTTCATACTATGATGGTTTTAGAAAACTAGATGTTTATGATAAATAATATTGTGGACTTATTGTAAAAGCAGCTTGTTGTCTACATAATATATGTATGACTGTAAATGATGATTTTGATGCTGATACATATGAACGATTTGTCCCAAGGAATGCCTATGTTACACAAGAAGGATCACAAAAAAGAAATGAATTATGCAACCAATTGTATAAATTTAACTGAAAATATATAACAAAACTTAATGAAAAAAAGTATTACAAAACTTAAAAATTTGTTTGTTCTATGCTTTACAACAACTATAATGAAAAATAAATAAATCAGTTAAATATTTTTTTGAAAAACTCCAATTTTTCTTCTTCAATTGCATTACTGCGATCTAACTTCTTAAGAAGTTGGTTTTGGACTTCTAACAATTTTGAATCCCTTTCGTCTGACTTGTCTAGTCTAGAAAATAAGTTCATATTATATAAAACTATTACCAAGAGAAACATGAATTTTAAATCAGTATTAGTTGAATTTAGTTATTAAGCTTTATTAAAAAAAAAATATTGTGCTTAAAATAGTAATAAGGTATATGCATAAACCTTATTACTTTGGTTAATGCATAAACCAGACTTCCAGATTATTTACACGATGAATTAAATTACTCTCTTACTGCAGTACCTTTTTAATATTTCACCGTTTTGCACTTCTCTAGTAGATAAAAATTCCTTGACCCACAAAGGTTGCTTTTCTTTGACCATTGAACCACACTTAAATCGTTTAGTAGAAGTTACAACACCATCTATTGTTATTTCCAGTTCTTTTGTAGATATGGATGACTGTGCTTGGTTATTGTTTAGAATATTAGAACCAGTAGAAAATTGTGTATCAACTATTAAATCTAGTTAAAAAAATAAAATAATCAAATTATTAATACATAATGAGTTGAGTATTTCTTAAAAATGGGTAACCATGATGATATAAGGCAAACAAATCAAAATAATCACATTCCTTACAAACCATCTGTTTCTTTATATTTAAAAAAAATTGTCTCTAGATATAATCCTGAATAATATAATAAATTGCTCTAATTATATCTTAATTTTAACCTTAAGATTAAAAACTGTTTTTTTTTTTACATATAAGAAAATATAATAGATACCTAAAGGTGGTGAAATCGCTTGTTTTCTTCCCATGTCTCTCATTGCTTTTTCCATCAAAGCATAATGGGGCCAAGTTATTTTTCCAGAACCAGATTTTTTAGATTTGTCATGGACTTTTGTATAATGAGTTTTCAGAGTTCGGAATTTGTCATCACATTGTTTACTTGTATATGAAAATCCCATTTTCTTCAGCGCACTGCTTATACGTTCCCAATGTTTGATATTTTTTCCAGTTTTTGATGAACGGAAGTCATCGTCCAA